CACTGGATGGGGGTCGAGAGCCATGTATTCTGAGCCCTCTTCCTTGAGCCGAGACCCCAGGAGCTGGGGCCACGCTGAGTGGGTGGGGAGGAGGCGTGCTGTCTCCTGGGGTCTTGGCTGAGTAGGTCACCCTTTACGAAAGCTTTTGCCCCATTAGGGGGCTTCCCTCTAGGCTGCAAGGGCCCTAGGGAGTCCTGGGTGATCCCACAGTTGCGTGACCCCTCCCCCATTCCTTTCCTCATGGATCCTCCCGTGGCAGCAATTGCAGTATTTAGGGGAGGGAGCAAAGTTTTCTCTTACCCAGTTCCAGCTCCTCTGCTGGGGGCTCCAGCCTCTCCGCCCTCCATCGTGTGACTGTGTGTCTCTCTGAGATTTTTGTGTTGTTAGGATGTCTTCTGTTGGAGTATGGATGTCCCTTTTTGCTGTATGTTGGAGGGGAGAAAGTCCCGGGCAAGTTCTCTCCACCATGATGCTGACATCACTACCCCCTTTGCCTTTGTTTTTGAAAGATCCTTCTTCTAGTCAAAGAATTTCATATTGATTCTTTTTTTCTTTTAGTGCTTTAAAGATATTGCTGTACTGTGTTCTGGATTGCATTGTTTCTGATGAGATGTTTTCCATCATTGTCTTGGAGTAGTTTTCTTCCTATTTCTCTTGCTTAGGATTCATTGAGCTTTTTGGATTTGAAAGTTTATAAGTTTCAGCAAAATGAAAATTCCAGCCATTCAGTATTTTATCTATCTCTCTTTCTTCTATCCTTTTGACACTCAAATTTCATAGGCTGCAGAATGATATGCCACTTAGTCTTCTTTTCTTTCTGTGTTTCATTTTGGTTAGTTTCCATTGTTGTGTCTTCTAGTTCACAAGCCTTTATTTTGCAAAGTATAAATTGCTCTCAATCCCATTCTGTGAATTTTTCATCTCTGACTCTGTATTTTAATCTCCAGAGAGTGAGTGTCTATCTCTCTCTTTTATTTCTACCCTTTTACTGCCAAAGTAACAAATCTAATATGTTAGGAGCTTTGATAATAATTCCTTTCCTATTTATCCCAATCTCCCCTTCATCTCTCAGCAATTTTGGCAGGCTCACTTCTGATGTATGGGCTTCCTCCATTTGGTTAAATCATTTCATTTGAAGGAATAGCATTGTTTCTATGTCATATCTATAGAACTAATAATTTATGACTGTGCAATGTAGGCCATATTTTTCTAAAACTGTTATCTCTTCTAGTATATTATAACTTGAGGGCTCATATTCTCTCATGACATATATGCACTTTATTAAATGCTCTACAGGGCCATGAACTTTATAAAGTTTCAATAATGAGGAGGAATCCTGAATAACGACTTGCAAATAGAACTATTTTTCTTTTTCTTTCTTTTTTTCTGGAGGATGATTAGCCCTGAGCTAACATCTGCTGCCAATCCTCTTCTTTTTGCTGAGGAAGACTGGCCCTGAGCTAACATTCATGCCCATCTTCCTCTACTTTACATGTGGGACGCCTACCACAGCATGGCTTGCCAAGTGGTGCCGTGTCCACACCCGGGATCCAAACTTGCAGACCCTGAGGCTGCCAAAGCAGAACGTGCAAACTTAACTGCTGCACCACTGGGCTGGCCCCTGGAATTATTTTTCTGATTCAAAGGAAAAAAAAGACACTGAAAGTAAACAGAATTATAAGAGTTCAACAATAAAGATCAGTCAGCCACCAAGTTTCTTGATATCCTTCACTTGCCCCACTTTGGATTTTCAAAAGTTTTCATTATCAGTATCTGATGCACAATGTGAATACCCTCCTCACGTCTAAAGCTCTTGGGTTGAACTTTTCCATGGGAAAATTTTGTTCAATTGAGTGAATATGGAGGACCAGTAAAAAGACTTCCAAGCAAGTTTCTTAAGTCCCTAAATCATACCCTGAGCCAGGGATTCAGGAGTATGTGACTTATTGCGGGAGTGGTCCTCACAATGGGGAAGGGAAAGTAACAAAGCAAAGATGTATTCTTGGGTAAGGTCTAGCCTTGACTGACCCATCGGACAGTAGGCCCTGGAGCATAAATCACAGAGCAGGGTGGGCAATGAGTTAAGGGGTTTGGAATTTTGTATCCTTCCCTCCCATCAGTTAGTTATTGGCTATAGCTGGGGATGGGGTGGTGGTATAATCTATTAGAGGTCTCAAAACAGTCTAGGGAAATTCACCGGGAAGGTCACAGGGATAAGTCATTGGGAGGATGGATGTAGGGGCCTGTTAAAACAAATGAGAAGAGGAAAAAAATTGAGGAGGGGTACCCAGATCATGTACTAGAGTAAAACAACTATGTAAGTGGAAGATATTCAGGTTTGTAATTTTAAGCTGAAGTGTAAATATCCCGTATGTCATGTATTAATTTAGGAAAAATAATAGATTTTATTATTTGCTAGTATAAATTACTAATTTTGTTTTAATGCTTTGTGTTAGTTTCCTAGGGCTGCCATAACAAATTACCACAAACTGGGTGCCTTAAAACAACAGAAATGTACTCTTTAACAGTTCTGGACACAGAAATCTGAAATCAAGTTGTGGGCAGGGTCATACTCCTTTTAAAGGTTCTAGGAAGGAATCCTTCCTTGCCTCTTTCAGCTTCTAGTGGTTGCTGGCAATCCTTGGTGTTCTTAGCTTGTGGCCAATAACTGCAACCTCTGCCTCTGTCTTCACATGGCCTTCTTCCCTGTGTGTCTGTGTCTCTGTCTCCAAGTCTCTCTCTCCTTCGTCTTCTAAAGACACCAGTCACTGAATTATGGCCCATCTTAATCTGGCATGATCTTATTATAACTTGATTACATCTGCAAAGGCGCTATTTCCAAACAAGGTCACATTTACAGGTACTAAGGGGTAGGACTTCAACATATATTTTCAGGGGACAGAATTCAACCCCAAACATGCTTGGAACTCTTATCTGTAAGTTTAGAATAATACCTCAGAATATTGTTGCAAGAGTTTTACATTTGACCCCAAGCAATTATTCAATAAATACAAACAATGATTAGCACAATATAGTGTACTTTATTGATTGCTTATTTATGTGCCAGATATCCTTTAAAAATATTTTATGTGAAATTGCTCATTAAGTCCTCCCATTGACTCTATTAGGGAGGTCTCTCACTATTTCCTTTTCACATATGAGGAAAGTGATGCCCATTGAGGTAAAGTAAGTTGCCAAAGGTCCCTCAGCTAGTGGAGTAGCTGAAGTTTGAATACAGGCAGTGTAACCTAGTTCAAGAGTCCTAATTAAAATGAACAGAGGTGAGGTCCAGGCATAGTTGGGGGACAATTTTCTGATTATTTAATCCTGCCATTCATGGTACTTAGATTAATGTAGTAGCCACTTTGTGACTATTTCTCATTAAAAAGTGAAAAAAATAATTTTGAAACATTTGCCAGTGATTTTATCCAAGAGACAGGCTGATGCTCTCTGATTACTCTGCCCCACCCTATACACTCCCCATACTCTTTCCTTGCTCTATTTTTCTCTGTAGACTTCATCAGTATCTCATACGCTTGCTTATTTTGCATATTCATTTCTTTATTTTCTGTGTCACCTCCACCAGAATGTAAGATCCATGAGAGTAGTCATTTTTGTTAACTTTGATCACTGTTATATTTCCTGCCCTTAGAAATATGCCTGAGGTGGTTACCAGAGGCATGGATGGGGGGTGGGTGAAATGGGTGAAAGTGGTCAAAGGCACAAGAAATATGCCTGGCACATAAAAGACCAGCAGTTAATATTGCTGGATTAATGGATGAATGAATGAGAGACAAAAAGACATAGAATAAATAAATATCTAGGGCTGAAACCAAATTGCTTTAGATATCTGGCAGAATTCTCCTAACTGCTTTTTTCTCACGGCAACTTTGTCCTGGCTCTGGGAGTGCTCATGTCAAGAACATTCTAGTTCCTGGTTGATCATCATTCCTTAAGCTTTCCAGTTTTTTCCTTAACAGGATTAAATGGGAATGTAATTGTTCTTCCTCACCGCCCCTTCAAAATGGCAAGCATTCGCCTGCAAACATCTTAATTTTCCTTTGTAGGTATTAGTGGATTCATAGTTCATTAATTTACCTAATTTTGTGAAATCAATTACAGAGTTGGAGACTGTTAGAATCTATAGAGATTATACATATCTACCTGTCAGGATGCTTTAAACTGTAACACATTGTAGGTGCTCAAAAACATTTTGCTACAGTTTAAGGCAAAATTTATGTGAAACGTGATTGAGGTAAGGTCACATGCACTATTCTCTGGTGGTGGTTTGCATTTGAATCGCCGTTTCCTTAAGAATCTACTTCTTTTCAAAAGAATCTGAGCAGGTTGCAATCAAGCAATTTGCAATGTATCCGGTTGGGCTCCACCGCTGTAAGTTTCCTGAGACTTTCCGGGGATCAGTAAGAAGACACGGTTAACTCGCTAACAAAATGGTCTTCAGAAAGGGTTGATTTCCTGGGAAAACACAAGGCCCTACTGGGAGTCGAACCCAGGATCTCCTGTTTACGAGACAGGCGCTTTAACCAACTAAGCCATAGAGCCACCTGAAACCACGGGATTGAACTGAGTCTATCTCATTTTACTTCGACTGGGTGAAAAAATGAGTTTATACTACACAGTGTTATCTGTTATCTTTAGAAAACATGCCGACTCCAGGGAGATGCTTCACTTACTCAGGATGCGCTGGAGACAGAAAAAGACAAAAGAAAAAGTATCAGGCAGGTGCAGCGTTAGGCAAAGGACTTTTCTTTTATCCCAAGGAAAAGCGTTTCAGAAACTTGAGGCAATGCAACATGTGGTGAAGCGTATTCAAAGGAAAAATATATACACCATTTGTTTAAAACAAAAAAAAATTTCAAGAATTTGCATAAAATAACTGGCCATATGTAACAAAGCTTGAGATACCTGAAGGTGCCAGACTTGTGAGAGGAGGAGCAAGCATCTCTCGGTGGAGCCGAGGAGTCTGCGCTTTAAGGCAATCTTCCTTCAGCTACAGGTGTCAGCCGGTCTAGTTTCTCTTCAAATCCCAAAATGTCATTTTCAGGAGCACGGTAAAGATCTGTTGTAATAACTTTCCAAGGGGAGCATCTCCGGAGCGGTGCGCAGGTGGGTGTGGGGCTGGGAGGCACGACCATCCGCAGCTGCGGCCTCCGGAAATTTGGCGAACATTTGAAAAATCCACCCGAGAAAAAGAACCATTTGTTTGCTCTAGTTTCTCCCCACCTTTTGTCCTCTTCTGTTCCCCTAGGGCTAGGTTTTTATACTCAGCCAGTTTAATCAGCTCGCAGAAGAGGTTATGCTTTCTCCCCTCCAAGCCGGTCCGTGCACACCACGGTGACCAGCCCTCTTCTCCCAGGTGGTTGCAACCCCCCGGGGACGTGCAGAGAGCCGGACCCGCGGGCGGTCAACCTGATCGCGGCTGCGCGCCCCCAGAAGGCCCCGCGTAGGGTCTGGGAAGGGCGGTGGGGGTCGGGTGAGTCCGCCGGCCCCAGGGCCCCTAGGACAGGCGGGGACTGAGACGACTGAGGGGATGAGGGGCAGGGAGGCTGGCACAGGGGAGAGGAGACCCGAGGCCCTGCCTAGACCGCGGTGGTGGTGTTGGAGCCGGCAGGACACATCCTTTTAGGGCCCGGGAGGATGCGAAAACTCGCATCAAATGCAAACGGATCCCCGCCCTGGACTTTGGGAATTAAGACCATGAACACATTCAGCAAAAAAGTATGTCTGTCGGCGCATATGTTTCTTTCCGTACCTTTCACAACAGGGACCTTATTAAAAGCCCGGGCCTCGAATTCCAAGTGGGTAGGGATGGGGAGGCTGGGAATGGGGAGGGGAGCTCGTCTGTCTTCTGGTCGCCGACAGGAAATGAAACTTCCCTCCGCCGAGCCCCAAGCGCCATGGGCCAAACTGAGACTCTTTATCTCGCGTCGTCACAGTTCCAGAGCCAGGTCGGCCATGGTGATTTTCAAGCGTTTATTTCAGTGATTGATTCTTCTAGAATCTAATGGCTTTTATTCTCTGGCCATCTCCTCCTTTACACACGGGTATCATAAGAGACGGCACAGGAGCGAAACTCGGGGCTCTCGGGTCTGTGTTGGATGGACAGAGAGGCAACGACCTGAAACCGAATTCTGATCTTTATTGGTCGCTGGGAGGACTCATTGCAAGGTAGGGAATCAGGGAAGATGCAGAACCTGAAGTTTTGTAGGGAATCGGGCGGACGGTCTAAGCATACGGTTTTAACTATAATTTGGCCTGGTTGAAGGACGTGAAGCTCCAAACGAGTGCGTGTTGAAAGGGAGTAGAGTAGATAGTCCATACTGAATTTAACTTCCTTATGCGCCGTTTGAACCTTAGAAATAGCTCTAAAAGAATTTGGTTTTTTTTTGTAGCGGTCATGTGCCTAAGCGGCAAAGTGTTGGATGAGGGCTCTAGTGTCTTGGGGTGCGGAGAGTAGAACCCCACCCCTGCCCATCATTTTTCTTCGGGCTCTTCCGTAAAGGCCCGCCGCCGAGAGGTCCAGGGAGAGAGCCCCTCCAGTCTCCAGCTACAGTACTTTGCCTTCTTGGGAGCTGCTGGTTTGGTAGAGACGCGTATAGGGAAGAACCTTGTCTTTATCATAATAAATTAAGGATAATTAAGATTCAGTTAAAGGAAAAACCAAGCTTTTCCTGTATTTACCCTTTATTTTTCATATCTTCGGTCAAGACTTGGAATCTAAAAAGAGAGAATTTTATTTTTTGAAGAAGATTGTATGTCATTTAGGTAACATTTTGCCAGCTCCCAAATCTGAAAAAGTGTCAAAGCAGATCCTACTTGCCCCTTTACTCTCTCTCCCCAGCTCTGCGGCCCCGTCTCTCCTCCAAGGTTCTGCCTTACAGGCAAACATATTCATTTTTGTGCTTCCTTCCAAGGACATTTTTTGCACATACAAGTGCATGCATATATATCATTAGTCCTACTTTTTACTCTAATGATAGTGTATCAAACACACTCGTACACACCTTAATCAGTTCAAATATCCTGGAGTGATTCCCATAGAAAAACATAAAGAGCCACTTTACTCTGGCAGCTACTATTCCGTTGAATTTGTCCACTCAGTTATTTTTGCCCAACCAATGCTGCTGTGAACAACTTTGTATATTGAACATTGCACATGTTTGTGGAAAGTTTCCAGAAGTGGAATGGATAAGTCCAAGCTAGGTTCTATGGTAATGTTGATGGACCTTCCCTAGAAGGCTTCCCAAGAAATTTGCCAATTTTCACCCCTACTGGGAAAACTTGGAGCGCTGGTTTCACCGTGCCATGACCAGCATAGTTTATTAAATAGTAACATTAACGTGTATATAGTGCTCACTAGATGCTTAGTATTTCCTATCTTTACATTTATTAAGACGTTTAAGCTTCATAACGATCCTATGAGGCTATTACCGTATTTACCAATACTTAATGGATAAGAAAATAGGCTTTTCAGTTTAAATAGCCTGCCTCAGGAGAACAGAGAGAACAATCACGATTAGAATCTGTGTCTGTAACCAAGGAATTTCTTTTTTTTTTTTTTTGGCCAATTTGATAGATGAAAAGTAGTATCTCAGTATAGTTTTATATTGTCTCCCCCTCTAATATTGTGAGACTAAAATCTTTTCAAAAAATTTAAAGCCGCTTGCTTTTCCTTTTAATGAAATGGCTATTATAATCCTTGTCCATTTTTCTGGTTGATGATTGGATTTTTCCTTTGATATGTGTTATCTCTATGTCAGAGAACTTTGTGTGTGTGTGTAATGAACTGTGAATATTATTTTTTGGTCACTTACTCATTTGTCTTTTCACTTTACCTGCAAGTGTTTTTTAATCCAAGCAAACTGTTATTTTGAAGTTCATAAGCTGAGGAAAAATAGACATTACTCATCCAATAGGGATCTGAAGTGTGTATGATTATGGAGGTGGGGAAAGAGGTTCTCTCCTCACTATTTAGCCACAGTAGCCATGAGACTGCTGTCCGGCATTTGTTTAATAACGAGTTTTGCCATTAAAAAAAAAAAAAATCCTAGTATTCCTGGAGTAAATTTTCTTTGGTCCTGTTGAATTAATTATTCTTGCTGGATTCTACTTAATATTTTATTTGAGATGTTGATCTTTAGATATTGAATTGAATTGTTCTCATTTGTTTTCTTTGGGGTACTATTTACATCAGGTTTTGGTGGCCTTAATGAGTGGATTGGGCAGTTTTCCATTTCTTATGCCCTGGAACTGTTCAACCCACAAGAATCATCTGATCCTTGGCACTGGGGCGGAACTTGCCTAAGGGAATGAGTAATTTTCATGGTGGTTAGAAATGGGAAGACCTCTGACACCCTCTTCATTTACTTCTGTGGTCATTATTCTACAAGAATGTATAACTTGGGCATGTCCTAAAGTGTCTCTGATTCTCTATTTCTTCCCTTGTTGGGAGATAGTGACACCAAAGGATTCAATGATTGACTGCCTCTATTGCCCTAGTACAATGCCTGGCACGTGCAAGCCTTCAGTCAATGTTATTCATTATTATTATCACATCAATAGTGGTAATTTATATTGTGCTAAATTCTATGTCATTCATTACAGTTAGATTCTCAGATACAGAGGTATAAAGCTGTAAATAATATTTCGTTTTTACTTAACATGTCCCTATTCATAAATCTCCTTTCTTATAACTAATTTTGAATTCTGATTTCATATTTTCCCTTGATTAGTCTTTCCATTGGTTTGTAGTTTGGTTTCATCTATCAAGAATGCTTTCTTAGCTCTCACAGCATGTCAGCAGCTTTTCTCTATTAAAATCCTCTCTTCTACTTTCATTTGGTTGGTTTTATTGGTCTTTTATTTGCTTTGTAAGTGGAATACTCACCAGTAATCAAATTATTTTAATATTTCCTATTTTCTAAAGAAAAAATGCATTTAAAGTTATAAATTTTCCCCTCTGATCTGCTTTTGTTGCATCCTGCTGGTAATGAGGTTTTCTTGTTATCATTTTTTCCTACAGAGCCTGTAATATCAGTTTTGATTTTCTTTTTCAGCCAAGATATTTCTAAAGAGCATTTCATTTTTTAAGTATAAAACTTTATGTTTTTCTGATTATATTTTGATTATGATTTTGTGCCTTATTTTCTAGTGCATTATTAATTTTCTAAATTAAAAAATATTTTGACATTTTCTTACTGGACAAATATATAGTCAATTCATGAAATCCCATGGGCAGTTTAAAAATGGTGTATTTTTCATTTTTAGGAAATAATTTGTAATTATCAGGTAAATTTTGTTGATAATTCTTTCAGTTTCTTATAATGTTACTTATTTCTTGGTCCATTGATATTTCTTAGACTGAGAGAAGAGAATTAAAGCCGATTGCTGAATTGTGTCTGTCTTTCTACTTATGTCTCTGGATGAGTTTCTGCTGAATGAAAGTTGCTGCTTTGGTTTATTGATCATGACCATTAAAACACAAAAATCCTTATATCGCCACTTAAATTGTAAATTTTAGCATTTTGAAGTCCCTTCTTTGTTTCATTTAATAGTTTTGTCCAAAATTCCATCTCAAATAATATTGTCCATGAGTGCTTTCTTTTTGTATGAGTTTGCCTAATATCCTTGTCTGTCATTGATTTTCAATCTTGCTGATTATTTCTGAGCCCTGTGGGTGAGTGGCAAGCTGGAGGAACCTTATGTGACAAGGGGTATTCAGGAAACAAAGAGCTCAGAAGACACTGGCTGTTGGTGTTCACAACATTTTGAAAGCCAATGACTGTAGTTAAGTGTTACCCAATCTTCCACTGGTTTGTCTGCCCACAGCAAAAATTGCAATTGAGATATTGAGTAGACCAAATATGTGGCTTTGTAGAGAAATTCTTGGGGGAATGAAATCTCTAATGCTAGCCAAGGACTTCCCAGAGACTTGAATAAAATGTTTCTAACCTGAAAATCTAGGGCAAGTGAGAGAATCATACTTTTAATGCGTTTTTTTCCTGCTTTTTCTCCCCAAATCCCTCCAGTACATAGTTGTATATTTTAGTTGTGGATCCTTCTGGTTGTGCTATGTGCGATGCTGCCTCAGCATGGCCTGATGAATGGTGCCATGTCCACACCCAGGATCCAAACCAACAAAACCCTGGGCCACCGAAGCAGAGCGTGCTAACTTAACACCTTGGTCATGGGCCAGCCCCCGCACTTTTAATGTTGATGTTTTCTAGGTTCCATCTTTGGTAGTCCTACTTTTCTCTGAGAATATTCAGAAAAATATTCCATACACTCACATCTTTGAACACCAAAATGGGCTGATGACTTCCAACTACCTTTTACATAGACCTCTTTAGAATTGCATATGATTATAGCCAACTGCCTATCAGACATTTCCACCTTATTGTCTCACAGACACCTGAACTCAAGTCCCTCCTCTTATTACTTTTCTCCCTGTTAGCACCACAATCTATTCTGTTAAGCTAAAAACTGAGTAATTACTCTAGATGACTCTCTTTCATTCATTTCTTCATCAAGTGAATATAGTGTTGCTGCTGTTTAGGCTCAAATAGGGATCATTCCCCAACCAGTCATGGCAATCAGTGTGACATTCTAAGCTGAACCTACTGCTCTGAAAGCATAATCTGATGGAACTGAGGGCTTTGCTGTTAATCCAGTTAACCCCGTAGTGAGTCAGCTGCTCCAGAGATACAGTTCTAGTTTTAATCTGGTATTTGCCTTGTCTTAGAGAAGGTTTTATTCTAAGTAGATACCAATGTGATTTTTTAACTGGACAAAAACATTCTGGATCAAGTTTGACATAAAGGGATAGTTGAATTTGCCCAAAAACTTATGGAAAACAATCCTAAATATTGGCAAATATTGTCCCAAGTTTGTTCTTTGTTGCATGAAGGGAATTGTGGACATTGGCTGACCTGACTGGCTGGGACTACCGAGGGCAGAGTTGAGCCACAGCCCCCATGACACCCCAAAGTTCTGACAGGTTTTTCATCCTCACAGTAATGCTGTCTTTTTCCCCCTGACTGATATTACCTCTTAAAATGTAGGATGGTTTTGAGCTTTGATTCTTGACGAATGATCCAATTATGGAGGATCTGGCAAAGTCCTTTTTTTCCTTGACTTTGTACTCCATGTGTATTATGCCAGGCACACCTCAATGACCCATTCTGTCTTAAATTGAGAGAAGCCAAATTGAAATAAAAAGTTTAAAGTTAGTTCACATTTTGGGCTAAGGGTTTTAGATAGGGTCTGTAAAAATGTACTGGCCTAAAGTGGCTGATTTCAGAAGAACTTGATAGCAGATGTAGAAAGTGTGGTTTTCTACATAATTTTGCAAGTTAGGAATATATGTTGAAGCCAGAAAGTACCCTTGGAACCCTGAGAACATGGTGATTGATTACAATTTGTTTTCTTTAACTTTATTTTGGCTTTTAAAATAGATGATTGAAGACGTAAATGATTTTTTTCTCCTTTGGCGGGCAGTCACAGTTTGAGGATTCAGCTTTCCCTAATGAGGGAAGAGAAAAACTGTCCTGGGGAATGCCATTTTGTTTTGATGACCAGCATCTTTCCACTGCTTTGTAAGTAACACACCTGTTTGTTGCATCGTATGATCCTTTAATTCTATCTTTAATGTATCTTCCAAGTTACTAATGTACTTAGTGTCTATTTTTAACACAAATTATGAATTCTGCCTCTGTCTCACGAGCTACTTGCTTATTATCTATACCTAACACAGCCTGTGAATTTTGCCTTTATCTCATAAGCTACCAGCTTACTTGCTATCTCTATGGGCTTTATTCAATCAATTTGCTTTCCTATTTTCTATCACAGAATATTGTCAAATAATACATCAAACTCATATTTTATGAAGCCATCAAACTCATAGTTTGTATTTTTGGAACAGGAGCCCCAGGCTGTCAGTGTTCTGTATAGGAAGGACTCTGAGGCCCTATAGATGAAAATGGAGCTCCCTTTGCCAGGCTCAGGGCCTCTTCAAAAGGAATTTAATCAGATAATAATTTCCTTTCCTACCTATTTGTCTTCTGGAGGCAAGCAACATAAACAAAGGAAATTGGAAAGAGACAGAAAAGATCTAAAAAAGGGGAAGTTCCTGCAGTTATCTTTTCTTTAGTTCCACTGAAGTTATGATCAGAAAATGGGGGAGTGCTACATATGCTCTAGGTGGCGCTCTGAGGTTATCAAATGGTTCCTATAGTGATGAGCCTGCTGTATTTTAGGGGCCAAAGGAAGTCTGAAAGAGTTAAAACTATTTTGCTCTTCTTTTTATAATGAAGCAAGAAAGGGTAGATAGTCCTCCATTCCCTAGAGCAGTGGTCTTCCAACTTTAGCAAGTACTAGGATCACCTGGAAGTCTTTTTAAATCACAGATTGCTGGACCCACCCCCTAGAGTTTCTGATTCAGTAAGTCTGGGAAAGATATAAAAAGTACATTTCTAACAAGTTCTGAAGTGATGCTGTTGCTGCTGATCAGGAGACCACACTTTGGGAATCAACTCCCTAGAGACAGAAGGCGGGAAAGGGAAAATGATGACTTCTACAGGGGATTCCTCTGAATAACGAGATGTTTATGGAGGGTGATAGATGATCTCCATGGCCTTCCTCAAATTTGCTTTACTAGGATGGGACACCCACTGCCACCTGCTCTGAATGTTGGCTGCCAATCGCTCACAGCTGCCCATTCTTCAGAGCATTACCCTCAGCTGCCATCTTCTCCCGAGAATTTCTTCAGCCAAAAGGAACCATCTCACATGAGAGGTTATGCCTCCGAGGCTGGGAGGTAAGCCCATAGCCAATGATTGACTGACCTGAGTTATAAAAGACCATCCTTGCTTCAAGATGGAAACAGTTACAGTGTGATTTATTCTGAAGCTAAACTCCAGCAGAAATCACATCCTTACTTCTCTTTCCCCTGCCCTATCTTGCTTTACTGATTTCCTTTCTTCTGAGATGACTCTCTCAGTAAATTACGTGTACCTGAATCCTAGTCTCAGCTTCTATTTATAGGAAACAGAAGCCAAGTCAAGGAGTGTTCGTGAGACCACAGGAGCAAGATTTGACATGCTCTGGGATGAACTTTGTTTACTCTTTTTCAGATTTTGGGGAATCTAGCTTTCAGAACTAACATGGGCGCTCTCAAAGTCCAAGAACCACCAGTGTCCACACAGTCCACAGGGAAGATATTGTATCTATGCTGTAACTGCGATGGGGGAGACGATGTTGGGGTCTTACTTCCAGGAATGGGCTGCTTAGCAAATCTGGAAATAGGATGATTAGAGAGGGTCTGTGTCCTGGTTCTTTGGGACTCAAAGAACCTCCTTGTTTTGCCCAAGGACTCTCCCCAAAGGTTTTGTGATCAGTGGAGCCTTCGTGATTTTAGACACCTGTTAGGTGGTTTGTGCAGTAGTAGATTTGTGTGAAAACATATGTCTTGGAATCGATTAGCTCAAGTTTATCTAATTTACATGATAGTTTGTGAGAACCTGTGGTTTGAAAAAAATTCCACAGCAATAATAGGGCCAGTGATGATAATGATGATGATCACCATGATAGTAAAGTCTGCCCCCTCACCTACACTCACCTCCAAGTGCAAGGAAATTTGTTTCTCAATTCCCTGGTCTTGGGCCTCTCCCCAGAACCACCTTTGTTTTCTCTTCAGGATTAGCCACTGGAGGGCATGGGAGTATGGAACCTGGATTTATCAGAACAGCAGCAGGATTGAGACCTCTCCTAGATACTCAGGCATAACGCACTCAGATTGAAGCTGTAGCTCTCCACCTTCCTTACTGGACTGTACCATGGGGCAGGGGACATTCCTCCCCTGGAGCATTCACTTTTGTACAGCACTGCAGTTTCCTGGTGTAGGCTGAATTAGTATCTTGGAGAATTTTATACATTGTGTCATCCCATCCTCCTCCACCCACTTCCTGGACCTTGATTATTCTGATCTGAAAATAGCAACAGATTTGGAACCCTCCTGAGGACTGTTAAGGTTCCTGGAGGTTCTTAAGAACTTCAGAGATATGGAAGAAACTCAAAAATGAAACATTTCTCACCGCCACTGGTAGCTGGTTCTGTAATCCCCTCACTGCCCTCACAACTGCCACAGTGCCTGGTAAGAGACTAAGGAAGTCTCAGATCCTGTGGGTTACAGCCAAGGACAGCCAGATTTTTTTAAAAATCAGTTTTTTCTTGCTGGATTGAGTTCAAGAAAAAACATCAAAATATTTTGAAAGTATTTTCTATTTCTCATGTGCGTCTACCACCTATGAATTTTAAAGTCTTCAGAATCACTGTCCTGGTGATTTCTGGCTTAGTTTGTCAATTTTCATGCCGGTATGTGTAGATTAAGTCGGGGATCACATTTTTATTTAGGTACACAGCAGTATTATAATGTTTGAAATTAGTCACTGATATTTAAATATCCTGTACTTTTTAAGTGCAAAAAATATTTTAAAGTGCAAGTACCTGTGTTCACAATAATTTGTGAAAAGGAAAAGAAAATGTTTTATTTCACTTCCTCGTACAACCTTCTCTTTCCTTAGTTTCTGATTTTCTGAAATCTGTCTTCACAAAAAAGATTGAACTTTAATTACAAAACAGCATGGGCCAGGTAGAGCTTCTCAGCGTGCTCTTTATTTCTCTGATGAGGAGTAGGTTTTGCTATGCTTTTCTTCTATTTACATGTGATTTTAAATTTTTACAGTGAGCATGAATTTTATAAACAGGAATGTATGTGTATTTCTTGTTGAGAAAGAGAAGATTCTTTAAGAAGCAAGGATTCTCTCCTGGAGGAAGACCTGAATAGGAGGGTAGAGTGGGGGCTGACTTCAAGAGATCTGTGTTCACGTCATATCTTTATAAGCATCCAGTCCCACCTAGTGTTTTTGGATGGGTCAAGGAAAGGTCTAGAGTGCTTCTGAGAAAAGCAAAATACTAAAGAGCTAGGTGAGATAGTCAAGGAACCAGGGACACCGTGAGAGAGGAAGAAGTGGTGTGACTCCAGACATAATATGGGACGCGGAAAACACCACAGGAAGCAGAGCTGCTGCAGAATGTTTTTATTTGAGACAGTGATAAGAATGAGTTTAAAGTTGGGGAGACTTGGGGTGAGGAGAAAGCTCATCATTCAGAATGGCAGGACATCCCTGCCCAGGTGCCATGACCTGAATGCACTAAGGGACAGGCACCAAGGAAGGCTCTGGTCAGGTCCGACCTACAGGGGCTTTGGGACCTACCATCATGGAGATGCCCCTCCTTTCACGTGAGATGAGTTTTCAGCTCTCACTCTGCCTTCAGAGATCCTATAATTGAACTACAGGGTGTCAGGGAAATTAAGGAACACTAACTGGGGAGAGGAAGAGTTTAACAATGCATGCCTATCTTGGAGGAGAGAAGAGGCTATTGAGGGGATCTTGAGAGTCTTGTTGCCAGTTCCTGCTTTCTTTAAACCTTCAGGATGGGAAAGGATAGATGTTAGGACTTCTGGGGTCTGCCTTTTTAGGGCCATGGGTAGTCTGAACCATTTGCCCTGAAATATGATTTTCCTTTGGAATAGAGTGAAAAAACTTGATACTTTGGGATCAGAGAGTTGGGAAGATAGATTTTCTTTCCTTTAATCTTCAAACACACGCATGCACGCACACACATACACATACACTACATATGTGTGTGCGTGCATGCGTGTGCATGTTTTTGGGCAGTACAGGATAGTTTGGTCATATGGAGGCTGGATAGAAAGGAATGTGGAGCAAAGAAGGATCTTTTGTTAAATGTATTCTTCAAGCGGGAGGTCGGGTGGCTACTTCTGACAAATCCCTTCCTACTCAGGTGTGAACTGCTTCAGGTACTCCAGGATGTCTGACTTGACTGTGCTGACTGAGGCCCGATGGAACCAGCGCATGACAGGGACTCCATCAGGTCCCACCAGGAATTTCTCAAAGTTCCAGCGGATGTCGTGGACCTTCATGGGCTCCCAGAAGAGTTGTTTTGGTGAGCCCAAAAGATCAGAGGTTGGAGGGCAGGAGTTCTGGAGCAGAGATATGAAACATAGAAAGGTAAATTTTTTTTCTGCCTCTGTGTAGTCCAGTCTCATCCCCACCCCTAGATAGCCTGCCCACTATTGTATATCTCAATACATAAACTACTTAACCTACTGCTAATGAACCACAGACATTTCAATACATCACCACTACAACAACTACCAATCAAACCACCAAGAGTTAGAGGGTATGATAGTAAACAGAAAACATTCCTCCTTTGCCTGTCTCTCCCCAACTCCCAGGATTATATCACCGTGCTTCAATGAAAGAATATCTCTTGTTTTCTTTGGTAAATCATATCATTTCTATGGCTTCAATTTCTCTAACTGAAAAAAAAAAATCGTGGTTTGGTTTAGAGTAGTGGTTCCCAGAGTTTGGGGCTTCAAAAGCCAGTAAAAGTTCAATGACTATTTTTTGGAGATTAATGTAGAATAACCAACATTCAACTTAACAATGAGAAAAAAATTTAAAGTCTACTGTAACTATGAATTCAAAAATTATCAGATTTTTAAGTATTACGTTGAGGAATGTAAAATTGATGAATCACCATTTTTGAGCAACAAAAATGGCAATTTATATGGTTTAACCTAATATTAATTTAAGATCAGAATGAATGATGGTGTTTTATATTCAATAAATTGAGCTTCATGAAAAATTCCCCACAGTGTCTTCTTTTTCAGTTTGCTATGGATGGGTAAGCATTTCAACAAGGACTAGACTTTTTCTGTAGATCAGCATTTGGGAACCAGTGTACTAAGAGATCTCAGGGGTCCTTCCATCTTCGGCTTTTCTTGTCTAACACTCTGTATTACCACTAAAGTCAGTTACCACATGATACTCTACATTATTTATTTCTGTGTTTGTCTCCCTGGTTAGATATGAATTCCTTCAGGGAAGAGACCATGCCCTGTTAATATGTATTAACTCATTGTGTACCACAGTTCTTGCACATAACTAAGAACTTGATAAATGATTGCTGAGTGAATTAATCATTACCATTCAGCAGGGGAGGTTAGTCCAAGTCAGACCTATCATAAGTTATTTGTTATCTTTACTTGAAGCTAAAGCCTCACAACAGATATTGCCATGATCCTTGAACTTCCCTCAGCATTTCTTTCCAAGGAATTCAACCCCAGTCCCAGGCTTCAGCCCCATGCTTTCAGGGCATCTCTACAAACCTGACCAATCCATGCCAGGTTTATGTTCACTCACCTTCAGGAAGGTAAAGACTTTCTGTTCTTTTTCTCCATTCACATCCCCTTTCTCAAAGAGCTGAAAATTGGGGACAAAGCCACCACCTGGACGCACATACCTGCAATGAACCAGAGTATTCCTGAGAGGATCTAAATTAAGACAAGGATGGATAGTAATGGCCACCACAAGCTCACCGCAAAAGGAAGTTAGAGATAAAGAGGGAGAGGGTGTAGACAGGGAAGGTGTGGAAAGAGAGGTCTCTGGAATCAAGTCTTCATGCATAGGCTTCACGGAGCCAAGAGAGAATTTCAAGAAAATTGGAAAGCGATATTTCAAGGTTAGGATTCCTGATTCATTTCTGTTTCCTCTATTTCTTCCTTTGCCTCTGTTTCTTTTCCATTAGATTTTCCTCTAGTCTCATCATCAAAGAACTCAAAGGTAGAGAGAATACTTGAGCACTGCCAGAAGGGCAAGATTGAATTCAAAGCATCATGATGATATTCTTGAATGTATTGATCTACCACCCACTCCAGAAGTTTCCAGAATGACGCCTCTAGGCAGAATGTGGAAGAGAAGTCCTGACAGGGTCTCTGCAGGCACTTACTTGAGCCCAGAAAGGATCTCTGAGTTTTTTCCTGGTTCTTGTTTGCCAAACTGGTTGCAGGGAAAGCCCAACAAAACTACACCAAAAGGCTTCAGCTCCTCCTGTAGTGCATTCAGTTCTGTAGGTAGAGAATGAGCGGCATGGGTAGCCTGGCCAGCAGCCCTACCCTGAGCAGTGAAAGACCACTGAATTTATCCATTTGTCACATGAATAAACTGAGGACTATGAAGAGAAAGTTTAAGATTTACAGAGGTTGAGGAGGCAGAACCAAAAGCTAGAACACAGGTTTCCAGAAACACATCCAAATAGCTGTTATTCTTGTACAGTAGTTCCCATAAATGGCTCCACTTCACCACCCAGTAGGAGCCTTCTTAAAAAGCACAGATTGATTAGTCCTCTGGGCAAGGGGGGGGGGGGGGTTCCTGGTTGATTCTGAAGAGAACTCAGATGTAAATGCCACTGCCTTCCTTAGTTGGTGGATTGATTGATCAAAAAATAATTTTAAGCATTATTTCTTTAAATAAAAATATTTTAAATATTAAAAATATTTAAGCAAAATATTGATCCAAAAAATATTTGTAAGCAAAAGGCAAACAAAATGGACATAACATGCCAACCCCTCCGACTATGCCCCATGACGACACAACCTGACACTCCAATCCCCTTCCCAGGAGCACTCTTTGGTGCTCTAACCTGGGAGTTGGAGAGTGAATCAGAAATTCCAAGCTTAGCTCCAGAGCATTCTCTACCCTCTTGTCAATTCCAGTGACCTAACTGATGCCATTTCCCTGGAAGACTCACTGAGATTCCAGGACTCAAACTCCAAGCTGCTCTTTGCCACCACCAGGAAGCCTTCCAACTTGTGTGTCTAGACTTCTACCATTATTTCCATCTTCAGCCATTTTTGGTTCAGATTTATTCAGTCCCCAAGACAGCATCAGCTATTCCCATTCAGACTCAGCTCTGCCTGCTGGCCTCTCCCCTAAGGACCTCTTCCTAAGTGACAGTGCCTACCTGTTTTTATATATTTCTTCAGTTACTATCCACACAAACCTCCCTCGTATCTTTAGCTATCAAGAATATTTCCTTCCTATCACAGAAACACTTAGAAGACCCTGATTCTAGTCCTTTGGAAAGTTCCTTTAACTCTCTCAATTTCCTCATCTGGAGTAAAATTTGAATGAGATACTCTTTAAAATTCTCATGAACTAGTTTAATAAGCTATATCGCAGCAACAGAATGAAAACTATGCCTTAAAATGAACGAGGAAACTCATCGTGTAGTGATACAGAGTAATATCCAAGATATTTTATTTTGTGAAAAAGCAAGGTACAGAATCATTTGTGTGTGGATATTTGTGTATGTGTCTGTGTGAGATAGAGGCAGAGGGGAGAAGGGGAGAGGGAGAAAGGGAGGGGGAGAAGAAGAGAGAAAGGAGGAGGGAGAGAGGGGGATTGACTGATTTGCTTGTATATGCAGTAAAGATTTATGGAAATAAACCATAAACTGATGACAGTGGTTGCCCAAAGGGAAGGGAATGTGGAAAGGTTTACCGTTACTCTTTTGTGTCTTTTAAATTTTGAATGTTGCGAATGTCTTACCTATTTGACACATAACCAATTTAAGTTAAAACTAAATCAAATTAAAACAGTTTTAAAAGCAGATTTACATTCCATGGAACTGCTTTTAACGCATCACAACTTTTTAAACTTATCATATTTTTCAAATTTAACTTTTGAAGGGAGGAAAATCTCAACTTGCAAAATAATGCTAAACTAAAAACTAAACTGTTGTTTAGGCTCTTATAATTAGATTTTGAGATTTTATAAAAATTAAATAAAAATTTAATCTGTAGCTGGGACTGGCCCGTGCAGTAGTTAAGTTCGCACATTCCACTTCAGTGGGCTGGGGTTCGCTGGTTCGGATCCTGGGTGTGGACCTATGTACCGCTTGTCAAGCCATGCTGTGGCAGGGGTCCCACATACAAAACAGAGGAAGATGGGCACAGATGTTAGCTCAGGGCCAGTCTTCCTCAGCAAAAAGAGGAGGATTGGCAGCAGATGTTGGCTCAGGGCTAATCTTCCTCCAAAAAAAAAAAATCAATCTGTAGCTTTTCAGGTTTTGCCTCGAGTTGATTGTACATAAAAGTAATAAACATAAAGTGACTCCAGAATTCTTTTAAATGTCTAGATCTTTTCATAATCTGTATTTTGAGAGTATCTTTTGATGCACAATTTCACCATTAAATTAAAGTCTTTAGCTGCTCTTGGTAAATGTGAACCATTTGGGTTTTGTTGTGCTTTGGAGAAGGGGGTCTTTTAATACCATTTTTGCATAAATTAAGCTGCATCCTGTCTTAGCCCATTCAGGCTGCTATAACAAAATACGAAAGACCAGGTGACTTCTAAAACAACAGAAATTTACTTCTCACAGTTCTGGACACTGGAAGTCCAAGATCATAGTCCCGGTATGGTGGGATTCTGGTGAAGGGCCCCCTCCAGGTTGCAGACTTCCAACTTCTTTTGTGTCCTCACCTGGTGGAAGGGGCTAGCGAGCTCTGTGGTGTCTCTTCTATGACAGCATTAATCTTATTCATGAGGGCTCTACCCTCTTGACCAAGCACTTTCTAAAGGCCCTATATCCTCTTACCTTAATATTGGGCTTAGGATTTCAACATATGAATTTGGGGAGGACACAAACATTCAGACCATAATACCCATTGAATGTTTAATTTTAAAATATGAAAATTGGTGAACCATATATCTTAGAAGTGAGATTGCAATATGCTTAAATTTAAGTAGTGTTTAAGAAGGAGAAAATTCTCAGATTTCTTATTATTGAAGCTCCATTAAGACAAACTGATAGGACTTTGTATTTTTGATGGGTTAAATAGATATCAGTGTTAATGTATGGACAGTTTTTCTTGAAACTTGTTCATGTGTTGTTTTGATCCATTTCTTTGTGGCATTTGATGCAATTAACCTTTTAAATTTATCTTGAGCTTTTTTTTTAAAAAAAAGCAGAAAATAAAGTTCTTGGTATGTCAAAAATTGCCTCTATCTCTAGTATAATCCATCAATAGGAATGCCAAACTCTTCCCCATGAGTGCACAAAGAAAATGGAAAACTCCTCTCAGTCACCATAGAAGAATTGGCCAAGTTTAGAGAGATGGAGCATTTTCCCAAACAGCCCTCATTCCAAAGATTGCTCAGCTAGAAAACTACATTTCCCTCTTCTCTGTCATTCGGGAGTGCCTACAGAATCCAAGGGCATTTTCCAAAAGATCGAAGATCAATCCTCTCTCCTGTTGTTACAGAAAGAAAGATAAAAGCAGCCTCTGAAAGCTAGGTTCTGGCCTGGGAGTCTCAGCCAGGGCTTGGTGTTCTGTTGAACATAAACAATATGTTTCACAGAACATCAATATACAATATGTGACCATAATGATTCAAGACAAAAACAAGGACCACTCCATAATCTTATTTTAACACAGACAAAACATCAGCACTGTCCAAATCACGAAAATGACCAAGCATCACCTTATTCTTGACAATATCAGTGATGGCTGCTTCTTTACCAGTTTCACTTTAATACTTTTAGCCTTGGTTTATTCATTCTACCTTGTACATTTGATTTATCAAGATACTCAGTCACATAACTGTCCTCATTTGCTGACAGCATCCAATCCAGCTTCAATTCCTTGAATCCTTCCCCAAATCACCCAACACAAGCCCAGATCCTCAAATAAGTCCCTTCTAACACCTTCTTATGGAGAAGCTCCCTGGTTCCCTGCAGCATAGGTTTTTCTTCAAGGCATCGAGGAACCAACTCAGCTTGTTCAACTACAGATATGTTCCTGGTGGGCCTTGACTAAATCTTTGGGAGCATCTTAGCTCTCAAATCTGGGGATAATTTTCCTGGCATTCTTAAGGCTAAAGGAGGAGAGCAGTGGCAGGATTTAGAGGAACAGAGTCACGTGATCACCTATCCAACCCACTCCCCTTCCTCCCAATAACAAATTAGTAAAACCATCTGGAACTACAATATGGTCATCAGACAAAGCTTTTTCCAAGAGTTGCAACATGAGTTCTTACCAGGATACTGAGCTGTCAAACCTCAATAGGTGGCCACATTGATAAAGAGGACGTGCTTGCCCGCATACTGCTTGAACTGGATATACTCCTCGCCATTGAGAGTGAGGGCTCCATACTCATAGATGGTGCCTGTCACCCCCTTATAACAATCCATCTGGAATGTAACAAAAACAACCACAATGATGTGATGATAAGATAAATAATAATCCCCAACATCTGTGGGCTTTTTCAAAGCACTCTTTCACATAATACCTTGAAACGCTAAGAACTGAAGAGACCTTCTTAGGTAATGTTTTTAATTATGAGCGATGCGTGTCTTCTAACTTAAAACCCAATTTTGTTTGTTTAGTCATTTATTTAGTGACAGGACAAGCACTTCATAATGTTCTTCCGATTCCTGGAAGATTAATACAATTTACCTCCATTCTCTGACATGGCACTCTCCTCCACATCCTCGCACCCTGTTCTAGTCATCCCATCCCTTCTCAAACATTTTTAACAGATGTTTGCAGGGTTTCCCATAAAAGAAGTAAGTTTTACATAAATTTCTCATCTATATATTCCTACATTGTAATTTCCTCACCCCAGAGCTGGGCCAATAACTTGCTCTCCCTCGGGTTCCCATTTTGAAGGCCCTTTCTAGAGATTTGCCATTGGGGTGATCATTTGTACCTACAAAACTCATCCTCAATACCCTCTTCTTATTCCTATATTGTGGAGAAACAGCCTTGAGTGCTCATGAATTTGGGATTATAAAATAGAAAGCAAAGGGAAAAAACTTCCTACCCATAAGCATGCCAAGGGAAAAAAGCAGACAGGACTTGGAACAAAAAGCTAAGATGTTGTTATCTGAGGAGAGGTCAGATTCCTGGAGATGTAGAGAAAAGTCATAGAATTTTAGAATAACTTAAGTAAGCTGCAAGGGATCTCAGTCCATAAAATTCTGCCCAACGCAGTGAAGGAATTGCCTGTGGGTGAGCTCCTGTGAGGCGAGTGGGGCAAAAACTCTCTTGTCATTTTCGAAGTCCATAAGTTCTGTCACCAGGATACCAGGCAATAACTTCTCCTTCACTATCCTTGGAGAGAACAAGGCTGACCCTAGGGCAGGTGCCTTCCCTATGTGTCCATACATCCATACATATCTGTGCGCACATTAACCCCCATATTTGGGAGCATTAGCCTAAGAAGGCCACCACAAAGGGGTTGTCATCTATGTGCCTGCATTCTCTTTGCCTTCATGCCATCTCAGCTGTGTGCTTAATAACTTCTAGCATTTGCCTTTCTTGCTACTGTAATTAAGAAGTCACATGGAGATCATCCTGTGAGCAGTCATTTGTGCACCTCCTTTTTCCTTGTCTTCATGCTGCCTTAGCTCTGGGCTCAACAACTGCCAGCTGTTCGTCTCTCACAGCTATCACCCTCTGAATCAGGATATAGAATCCAAGAAAATTGCACATTTGAAGAACTCGATCTTTCCTACTCAGCTTCCCGGTCTGCTCCAGTTTGCTGAGGTCTGCTTGAAGAGGTCAAGATACCCTGAAACACAGCGTTTTATTCACAACAGAAACTCCACCCCCAATTTGGCAGCAGTGGCTGACACAGCCCTCAGAGGCTGCCTTCTTCTTTTTTTTTTTTTGGTGAGAGAGATCGGCCCTGAGCTAACATCTGTTGCAAATCTTCCTCTTTTTTTTTTTTTTTGCTTGAGGAAGATTGGCCCTGAGCTAACATCTGTGCTAATCTTCCTCTATTTTGTATGTGGGTCACCGCCACAGCACAGCTTGACAAGTGGCATAGGTCTGTGCCCAGGATCCAAACCCACAAACCCTGGGCCACTGAAGTGGAGCATGTGAACTTAACCACTAAGCCACTAGGCTGGCCCCAGAGGTTACCATTTTTAATTTCAGAGAGGGAAAATGATCTTACTACAGATGCCAGTATTTGAGCATTTTACATGCATCATCTTATACTTCACATGGACTGAATGACAGTGCACTCAAAGTGTGGTTTGAGGACCCGGACAAGTATCATCTGAGGACATTAGAAATGCAAATTCCTAGGCTCCTCTAAGACCTACTGAATCAGAAACTTTGGGGTGGGACCCAGCAATCTGTGTTTCAACAAGCCCTCCAGCTGGTTCCTATGTGAGTTGAACTCTGGGATTACTGCACTCCACATGGGGTATTCTCCAGCTTTTATAGAGGAGGGCAAGGTGCCAATAAAAGATATGTAACTGGTCTAAGGCCACAGGCAAGGCTGAGTTTTTGAATGAGTTTATCTGATTTTAAAATTAAAACTTGGTGCCTCAAGTCATCTACTTCAGTCCCCACCCTGCCTCCTAAGACATACACATCTTTTACAGGGTGGCTGCTGACATCCTGTGGGGGACTTTTCTGAAGGGCATTGGGCCATTCGGAGCAGCCCCAAGACCTAACAGCAAATCCTCTTCGTCTGATCTGAGCTTTGTCTCCACCTCACACCATATCCCCTAAAATGAAAATTGGCCGACAACCATCCTGGCCTTAAATGTTTCACTATTCCCTGAAAAAAAGCTTCCGTGTCCCTGACCCTGAAACTCCTCAGCACGTTCCAGCACCAGCTCCTCTTCCCCTGCCCGCGCGTCTCAGCCTCTCCAAGACCCATCAGGTCAGCCTCCCTCCTAGTCCATTTGCTGCGACTTGTCCCGTTTCTGAAAACTTGCAAGGCGGCCCCAAGGTCCAGACCAGGGTGGAGGGGACAGGCTGTGGGTTATCAGGCAGCCGGTATGGGAAGTGGCAAAGTGGAAGGCACGGAGAGCCGCCTTAGTCCTCTGCCCACATTAGGCTCAATGCCCACCAGGTGCTGGGGAGAAGATGCGCGTAAGAGACGCGGTTTAGGAGGGCCTCTGCCTCAGAGGAAAGCGAGGGTGGGGGTGGAATTTGCTAAGAAGGGCTGGGGAGACGGATTTTGTCCTTCGAGAAGAGACGGGAGGACTCCTCGAATCCCTGGAGGCCAAGTTAGTCGTCACGTACTAACATCCTCCTGGATACCTTGCGGGACACTCACCTTCATCTTCTGTGACTCCGGGGTTAGCTGAGCGAAGCCCACCAGGAACAGCGGGAAAAGAGAGGAGGCCCAGAGCTGCCGGATCATGGCTCCAGTACCAGGTCTAGGCGACTCTGAGGTTCCCAGGGATCTCGGCCCCTTTTGAGCTCCTGGCAGGGACCAGTTTGAAGATGCGCCCTCCAATCACAGAGCAGCATTCACACGCCGGCTCAGGGCTGCCGGTGCATCCGGTCCTGCGGCCCGCACGTGTTCTGGTAAACGTGTTCTGGCGGGTCAAGGTGCCGGCTTGCCCGTTTGGAACCTGAAGCACTTTTTCTACCCTCTCCCCTCTCCAAGTGTCTGGGGGTTCCTAAGTGTTGGCACCGCATCCAGGAAGGAAAGCCACCAGCACAGAATCAGAATCTGCTTTTTTAAAACAAGATCATCTCGTGATTTACGTGCAAACTAAAATTCGAGAAGCATTGTCCCAGATGCTATTAATCCTTTGTCGTGTCCCCTCAAACTTTAATCACTTAGTCAACAGCACACTATGTTTTCTTAATTATGAAATCCAGCTGTGAGGGCCTGAGTGTCTCAGACACTTTGCTCAGCCATCTGTCCCCTGGAGAAGGGCTGGTTAATGCAGGAGGACAGATCAGAGACACACGTTCACGGCGGGAAGCTATCAGAGACAAGGCTCTAAACTGGGAGTCAGGGAACTGCCTGGGCTTGAGTTTCATTCTCTGTAAATTACTGTAATCCTCTCTGCCCCACTCACTCCATAAACTGATTTATTGTGAGGCTCTAATAATGTAACAACTAGAAATTTGTTGGGAAGTATTTGAATTAGTGAAGAGGCACAGAGTTTTTTCTCCCATCGCACCCCACCCACCCTCTCCTCTCCCATCTGTTCCCATCTGGCTTTTCCCTGCCAGCTCAGCTTTACTAGACTCCCTTGTTAGCTGAAATGATAACTTCTTCCTCTTCAGTTCTAAGCCCCTTTCCACCCAGCTCCCTCCACCTGCCCTGCCTCTTCCAGGTTCACACAAAAGGCTTTCTCTGCTCCTGAAACTGAAGTCTGGATGGGGTTGAATTCTTGTGAACTCACTTGGAAGACAAGCATTTTGTTATCTCAGATTTCTGAGCTCTTCTCAAAGGCCTATAATCCATGGCCTGATCACTAATACCTGATCCAGCCATGCAGGCGCCCAGGCACTTAGAGCAGCCATGCAGAAGCCTTCCCTCTTTTGGCACAGAGGTACAGCATTCCCAAGCTCTTTGGCCACTCCCCATTCTCAGTTCAAAAAATGGCTGAACCTGAGACAATGGGGCCACAGAGACCATTGAGTTTAACACCCATGCGTGCCATTGACTAGCTCCCTCCTCAGAAAAAGTTAATGTCTCTGTACCTTAGTTTTCTCACCTGTAAAACTGGGGTAATAAGCTACCTGTCTACCTCCTAATTTATCTATCTCCTAGGTACTATCCTAGTAGCTACCTATCTACCTGCTAGGGCTGCTGAGAGGATCAAATGTCTTAATAACAATAAAGGACTCAGCCATGGCCTGACACAGGTAAGCAAATAGAAATATATTTATCATTCACACGTTTGGCTTTATGCATGAGAAAACTGAAGCCCAGAGAGAGAAAAAGCATATCAAAGATCACGGGTTAGTTATGGTGAAATGAAAGCAAACTTGTGATTCCTACCTTAGGTCCCTTCCTCTGATTCCACGTGGATCATCCATTGTCGTGACTAAATTTTTATTGTCTGTGACAACTTACTTACATTTGCTAGTTTTGCAATAACTAGTCCTTGAGTGATGAGGAGACATCAGTAGGTCTAATGGCCCAAAATCCCAACTTCCCAGGTTCCTATTCCAATATTCCTGATAAGCTTTCGAGCACCTTGGGTCCTGGGCTCCAGCGGTGAAAAGTGAAGGTACAGAGCTCACACTGAGCAGGAGGGAATGAGGCAGACATCTCACGTCCCTGTTCCACCTGAAGGTATGTCAGGGCTACAATTCCCCTTTACTCCTCCTCAGGGGCCGTAGTTCAAATCTCTGTTCTCTCATTCCAGGCACTTTGCTTCCATCTCTTGGCTCGTCTCCTTACTTCCAAGCTCGTCTCCAGCCCCTCTTCCTCCCCACTCTCCCTCTGTTCTATGACTTTGCTTAAGATCAGTTTTGTTGGCATCACTCTTATGTTAAAAATACTTTGATTCCTTTCTACTTCTGACATTTTTAATTTGAAATTCTCCCATGGAGCGCTCAAAATCCTTCCTGATATGACATTAGCCAGATTTCCAGGCGTACCCTTCCTTCCGTAAATGTTCAGTTTCTGACAGACTGAACTGTCTCCATCACCTAGAATCTACCTATCTAGGTGCTGATCCTTGACATTTTAGGTAAAATCTGGGCCAGTGCTTTGGGATCATTCCTGAAAGATTTTTTGGTATATTAATGACGAGACTTTCACATATTGAGTTATATGGGGTAACTATTTGAGTTCAAAACTGATTTGGCTTGAACTACAAAGCCTGACTTATGGCCTATGAAACATACATTGTACATCTGCTTAAGCATTAAAGTAAAGCATGCACTCTCTTAAGATAAGAATGCATACTTCCCCTCCCACCCTTATTGGTAATGCCCTGTTGGTAACTCCCAGATTTGTTCCTTTCCGGACATCATGGTCATATTGACCTGCTAATTTGCATCTGAATACTTCTTTGAAATTTTGACAAAAATGTATCCTGGGTGTATTTAATGTATGCTCTTTGTTCTAAAAACAGTTAAGATTGTACTGGAATCCGTGCTTCTCTGGAACCCTTTCTAAGGCCTTCCTGGGTTATAATCCTTGCTCTGGCTCAAGTAAACTTACCTCATTTCTCTTAGTTATTGGTTATGGGTTATTTTGGTCATAAAATGGTTTTTTATGGTTATTGGTTATTTTGCGTCAACATTAACAGCATTTTTATTCAAAATGATGGGACACTGTTTTATCAAACAAGATTTCATAGGTAACTCTCCCAGGCCTGAGTAACAAATCAGGGATTTAGTGAGCTTGACCAGGCCTTAAATTGGACTCAAGGTCAGTCTTGCTGCCTTTCACAAATAGCCTAGGGCTAGGGAAGAAAAGGATGAGAGACTTTGATCAATTTGTCTTAATCACTGTTTCTTTGACCGAATCAGCATGAAGCAGTTTAGAGGACAGAGACAGGATTCCTAAGAAGAGAAATGATTTGTACAAGGTTACAGGGTATTATGGGCTGAATTTTGTGCGCCCCACCAAAAATATATTGAAGTTCTAACCCCCAGTATATCAGAATGTGACCTTACTTGAAAATAGGACTGCTGCTAATGTGATTAGTTAAGATGAGGTCATGCTGGAGTAGGGTGGAACCCTCATCCAGTATGACTGATGTCCTTATAAAAAGATGGCTGTTGTGAAGGATGTCATGTAAAGACAGAGACCGAGATTGGAGTTACGCTGCCACAAGCTAAGGAATGTCTGGGGCTACCAGGAGCTGGAAGAGGCCAGGAAGGATCCCACCCTCCAGGTTTCAGGGGGAGCATGGCCATGGTGGCTCCTTGATTTCAGACTTCCAGCCTCCAGAACTGGGAAACAATAAATTTCTATTATTCTAAGCCGCTTAGTTTGTGGCACTTTTTATGGCAGCCTTAGGAAAATACCAATTTCTGCAAGTAAGTTTCAATTCAGAGATAACAACGGAATCCCCTCTTATTTCCTTCATGTTTCTTCCCTTGCTTTCTGTCTACCCCTACACTCACCACAGGGTGCTTTCATTCTCAGTTCCTTTGTTCTAAAAGGGAACAAAACTTTATTGCTTAAATACAGTCTTTATTCTTAGTTGCGGAGTGAAACTGCTTCTTTATTTACCTGAACCCCAACTTAGAGATTCAAGCCTCTGCTTGAGTCTACCTGAAAGAATTTTCTGATTTGATCCATCGTTCTAGGTACATGGGCCGTCCTCTCAAGACTCCATGGATTTCCTTCTCTGCACTGCAAGTAGGAGACATAGACTCCAATTCCAGATCTGCCATAATTTTGTAACGCCATTCCATTCATATTGTCAGTTGTATTTTTAGATCTTCCACTTCATTTTGCCTCACCACCAGAGTAGAAATGAGATAGGAGAAGGACATTTTTCTCAATTTACAAATGTGAAAGTAAGATTTAAAAATATAAAGTCACTTAACTTCAAATCTAGTTTTTTTTTCTGTTTGCTTTTTATTTCTTTTCACTTTAAATCCACGAACTACACACATTGGGAATTTGAAGAAAGTGATGTTTTGGCTGCAGTTTCCTTTTTGGTACATTTTTGTCCATGTTTGTGGCTACTATTGCCTCATCCTGGAGGACACCTCACATCCAGGCTGGCTGTGGCCCTAATCCCGAGCCTTCATTAAGGCAGCTGGCCCTGAAGCACAGTCTTCCTGGAGCCTCTGCCACTGTTGCTAAAATTTCCACCCTCATCTGCTCCAAGAAATAATTCTAACGTTTGGTGAGACAAAGGGGATAATGTGTAAAGAAGAATGTGTACTATCCCAGGCCGTGTCTGTTATTCCCATCTTACTGTACCAGGGAGGTGCCACTGTCCATGCATCATCACAGGCATCTGAGACACCCACAGCACCCACAAGAGCTAAGCAACTCATATGGCTACAGAACCAGATGTCTCCCAATAAGGCACAGTCCCAAAGCTTCTGTGACTCAGGCCTTCCTCCTCCCTCGGAAGGAAGGAATATGCCATCTCATCAACACTGCAAACCCAAATCCAATTATTAACCTGGGGATAGGGGTTAGGGACTGTAAGATGACTGCCTTTACTTCCTTTCACATTTCATAGTCTTTTAGTATTTCCTCATCTTTTAAGAGGTTCAGATCACTTGATGATCTAATTTGACTGATTTTCCCCTTGAGAAGACTGAGAAGAGAGTATTGACTCAGAAATCTCTAAAATTTTAGTGCCCAAATATTTAACCTTTTTCAATTCATGTATGAAAAATCAGAAGCCCTGAAAGAGGAGTGATTGACCCTTCTGACCTTGGATATACCCTTACCTAAGAAACAAGCGCTGACCTCTGTCAC